AGAGCTGCTCCATTGCAGTGGCTTAGTACTGTAATCACGCGCTTTGCTGTAGTAATGCAGGGAACCACTCGTTATAAATCTCCTAACTGTGATATTTTCAGAAATAGAAGTCGCGTTTTTTCATCTGAAACGTGCTGCGATTTATATTCCAAAGCTACTCATATAATGCAGAAACACTCATGAAGCAAGCAAAACACGCGCAACGCGTGCACGTATTTGTACTGATGCAGAATAGTACAGCCTAGCGCATTTCACACAGGCTGCTAGATTCACTTTCGCTAGAAAGTCGTGTATGCCTAAGGTTGAAAATAAATGATGTTTATAGTGAATGCCCCTATGAATGGTTTTATTTTTACGATTTAGTTTTAATCCAAATGATGCGTGCTAAGTGAGCAAACATCAAAGATCACACAACAGAAGTGCGCGCTCTCTCTCTCTCGCTGTTTCTCTCTCTCTCTCTCTACCGTTAAGTAACTTGTGCATTGTTTTACTTACTTGTTTTTGACATATCCGACTGAACTACAAACTTTCCAGTGATGTCTGTGAGAAAGATATATTCACTCGACAAGCTCGCGCATCTGCGCTGCCGCGCGCTCAATCCACTCAGCGCGCTTTGCTTATCAACTCGCGCACATCAGCTATACAGGCGTTAATACTGAATGTTTAACGTTATATTCATTGCATACATATACTTCGTAGACATCCTTAATATCTAATAACTCCATTCTGCTGTCTGTTGTTGTTGTTTCTTTGTCTGAATATGCCGCTTATCACATGCTGTGTGGTATCGGCGTTTGGTATCGGGGCATTTTAACGAGTACGAGTACAGAAGCTCAGTATCGGGCCCGATACCGATACCAGTATCGGTATCGGTGCATCCCTATTTAGAAGGATAAAAATATGCTTTTTTTATGATGATTCATACCTGGGGTGTTTTCCTGTTAATGTGCACTGTGGATTGGTAGCGGCAGCAGTGCTCTGAACGAAACTAGACTCTCGAACATGTGGTGGCGAGGACCTTGTGGGTTTATAATACTGCAAAAGACACAAAAAGAAGACAAATATTAAACATACTACATTGTTGTCTATGGGCAATGCTATGCTCTGTCATCTAAACATTTAATTAATACATTTTCAGTGCCAGTTGGATAATGCATCCAGCATGCAAGAGCAGCTCAGGCTTCTGCTTAACTCTTCGCTTTGATTCTTGTCTTTGACAAAGAGTCAGTGGCCGGGGTTCCACTGATACTCAGATAAACCAACAGACCACCATGGAACCTGCAGACAAATCCAATTTAAATTTCACACCTTGAAAGTCTTCCTCATAAAAACCCATTTCTGCTTCGGGCAGAATGCACACAATGATCTAAATGTCAGAGAGATACTTAATCTCCTCCACTATCCCACCTTCACTCCACAGTGTCGAGTGGAAGAGAAGAGAGAGAGGGGGAGTGTACAGGAGGAGAAGAACTGATGGCTGATGGGGGATCAGAGAAGGGCACTAGAGTCACTCTAATTGGATAATATAGCACTTTCAGGACTATGTAAATCCAAGCAATGTTCCAATATCTTCCTCTAATGGAACTTGTGTGGGAACAATATGTGCAGTGCAGAAGAAACTATGTTTTTTTTTCCTTTTACTTTCCTCTTTTACATTTGGCAGATGCTTTTTTTCCCAAAGCAACTTACATTGCACTCAAAGTATACATTTCAACAGTTTATGCATTCCTTGGGAATCCAATTCATGACTTTTCCATTGCTAGCAACATGCTGTTTGAGCTACAGGGAAGACTGAAACTTTATTGTAATTACTTAAAAATATGCAGTGTATGTGCATAATTTAGCAACTCATTATGTTCTGCTCTGCAAATTATGACTGGGAACATCTTTACAGATTTGAATGCATCATGTAACATCCCAGCCTACAGGACTTTATTCAATTGTGATATAACAGTAGCTTGGAGGAAGCCTCTTGTGTCTATGATACTGACAGACTGCTGACACTGCTGAATATTGACACTGCTTTGACAAAGAAATAACATTTGCAGTAAGCTTGCCTTTTTTTTAAAACCTGGGCTGAAGTAAGATGACAATACATATGTGAAATGTAACCCACGCGAAATTGAGTCATATGTTTAAAATCACTTACATAAACCCTAGTCTTTTAACTCAAAACAAAAACTAGTGCATGGTTACTTGAGACTTTTATATATGGTTGACACACTCTGAGCATTTAACCAGTTATGTAATGCAATGCTGTTATGTTTTGTTATGGCCATCTCTTGCTCTATTCTAATAATTGCATAGCTGTATAATTTAGCGACTTGTAAAGACAGTAAATGCACTATTGAAAATATCAGGTGAGTGGGAAGGAGCTATAGAGTATAAGATTTATACAGAAGAAGAGAGGGAGCAAGAGAGAGAGTAGAAATAAAACAGTGGGAGGAAGTGTTGGTAAGGCAATCTGACTAATAACAGGTTTATGTGAATTCAGAGAGAAAATAAAAGCCGAATATTCAAAAAAGGTATAGAATATGGTTTGCTAAAATGGTCATTTTATATTTTGTAGTCCATGGTGTGCAATATGAAATCAACAGTCAGTTCACTTTGTTTTTGCTCAAACCCAAACATATTCTGGCATTATTATGATGGCCATACTGCTTCACAAAAGCAAAGTTATGTCTCAGAGCAAAAGTCTTAAAATTCATTTCCCTCAAAAGGTTTAAAAAAGCTGTCTGATTCATTCAAAGATAGAAATAGTCATTTCTGAATTTAAGGTCAACCCTTTATCACACAGGTAACTAGTATTAGAAAAGTTAGAAGCCTATCATTACTGAAGCAGTCAATTTCTTTTCCCTTAGAAATGCAATTTGACCGCACTCAAAAGAACCTGTTCAGGCAATCAAAAGTGACTTCATCCGAAATATTTTGAAAGCACGTCTTTCTGATCTTTGAAGATGTATTTTCTTTCTTTTTCGAAGCACAGCCACCTACATTTCCAGAAAATGCTTTTAAACAAACAGGCTTGAATAGACTACTTAGCTGTTAAATTAATCAGGTGAATTCAGCCAAAATGCCCTAAAGTTTAGAGAAAAAATATATATTTTAGAGAAAATTTTATATATAGCACAAATTCTCATTTTTAAAATCTGATTAAGACCAATGTGCAGGTATCAAGCAGGTTCTACTGTATTATGAAACATGTTGATGTTTTATCAAGGGTAATTCACAAAAAGTGCTCACAATCTTAGACCGTTCAAGCAACAAACTGCTTAGAATGTTTGGAAAAGGAGGTCAGCAAACTGATATTGAAATATTATTGTCAATGCATCTGAGGAGGAATATGCAGCTATTGGGCAGAACATGTGATGTGTACACATCCTGAAATGTTGATAAGAAAGGTAATGAGCATATTGGACAAAAGGATACTATACAAAAGAGCTAAAAATGGAAACTTATAAAAGAGTAATCTACAACATTTATTTCAAAATAGCACTGCAGAGACCACCTCAGACATCATAATGGCACATATGAAAGCCGTACAAGTGAGTTCCTCACAGCGTGACTGTTATACAGCCAACAGGGGCAAATACTGTATATAGGACGTATGGCCAATAATGAGCTCATTGGGTGTTCAAAGCTTTTTGATGGACCTGCTTTGAACAGAGTTGCATAAGGCTGAATACACGCTGGTTAGTAATGGATGTTTTAATTTAGCCATAATGGCATGCAAGACCATCACCCACTGTAGCTTGAGTGTGTGTGTAATCTGCATGATCTGTCCAATGCTACTGTAGATGGTAACTGATTAAATGTCATGCCAGTGAAGAGTTTCTGTGGTAAATGTGTTACATGAGTTCAGAGAGCTGTGAATTGTTCTTCCTGCTCAACCTCATGTCAGCCGCAAGTCAACAAATATTTCACACCTATAGTAAAAAACGTTGTGGTATGCAGGGGCAAAGCAAACAACAAAAATTCACATTTACCTGGCACACGCTAGCCTAAAATATCATTCTAGACAAGGCAAGCTGTGTGTTACCTGTGTATTAATAAATGTTTGTTTATATGCCCATGGGCTGAACTTTCAGCGAACAGTGCACCAGAAAGAGTGAGGTGCTTATGAAATATATATAGAGGGAAAGGTTAGGACGGAATTTGAGATGAGATGGAAACATATCTTACATCAGTAAGTTTTACAGATATTTCTACCAGAGGTTTCTCTAATGCAGATATGCAAAAGTCACTCCATCCTATATTTATTGCATATCATATCATTACTGAAAGAAAAAGACGTTGTCATGGAAAAACAAACTTTTTCATCATGTGTCAAAAGCTGGTCTATCTTTGTCAGTGGACTAGTTTTGATTGCTTTGGCTGGCATTTGCATGTCTTCTGACAGTGTGCCATTGCTGTAGCGATTAAACATCTCACTGGGTTTAAATGACATTTTAATTACCACTGTTTCAAGTTTCAAGTTTATTTGTACAGCGCTTTTCACGATACAAATCATTGCAAAGCAACTTTACAGCAAATTAAGTTTCTACAATATTTAGTGGTAGCTTATCAGTGGTGACTGTCAGTCAATGTACAAATGGAAAAATCAATTAAAGACGTAATCAAACAGACGATGAACATTATTAACAGCAATTATTATATGATGCAATCAAACTTATAGCAAAATGTGGTAGTCTGTAGAAAACTGTGTTTTCAATGTAAATAGCCTGTATAAGCTTATCTGTGATGGATCTGATAGTTGGAGTGATTGAGAAAGTGATGACACAGGGAAGGTAACACACTGTCTACATTCTCTAGGACACTGGACTGGCGCAAAGTTTCTGAGCTAGAAAGACAGAGAATGATGCAGTAATCACAAACCCTCAATGATGGACTAGTGTGACTACCATTATTAGTGTGTCTGTCCTGAGAGACTTGCACACCCTGAATAACTGCCTGTGACAGAGCCTCGTTACAATGAGCCGAGCGGTGTAAAGTGTCAGTTGTTCTTGCTTCTAATTGCTGATGAGCAGAAAAGCCAGAGATGTGGATTTGAATCCCTTTTAACGTGAATTTTCAGCAATCACATCATCATCAGATCGCACTTGATTACATTAATGACTCCATGAGATCAAATCTGGAGTTTTGTGGCTCATAGTCCAGTTGTTCTCAACCTTTTATAATATTTGACTTCTAATATTCAAAGGCCCTCACATCTAAACTGATATGTACCTAAAATTAAACAAACTCAAAAATATGATGCCAGTTTAATGTTGTATATCACATTTTTATTGTTTTCTTTTTCGTCAGCATTTTCATTATGATTATATTAATATAACTAAACTTAATTTTAAGAAATTCTTAATTTTAAGAAATTCCCGACCCCCTGGTTCAGAACCACTGTTTTAGTCCATGTATTTTAGCTTTCAAGCCATCTGTATGCTATCATACTTCTAATAGTTAACAAAATAAATATATAAATGCATTAAACATATAGTATAGTCTCTCTTTTTGTGAAATTTGAATGAAAATACTTATGATGACCCATCATGCAAAATTATGATTAATGCTGCCCTGAATGCGAATGCTCTTCACCCTTATACTGCCTGCCAATAGCAAGCAGTAAATCATGGTTTACGGTGTCATGAACCCATTGAGTCTAACTGATATAATATAATGTGTAAAACGTGTTTAAAAACTTATAATTTAATATTTGTGCAGGTTATAGGCTAAGCTAGCCAACAAATTGGCTAGCATGTTGAACAGTTAGCTTGAAAAACATAGCTAACTAATAATAATAATAATAATAATGAACAAGTGTATAATTTCAAATTTAGGTTATATACAACAATAATAAAAAAAAAAAAGCCATAATAACAGTTCAGACGGCGCACATCATAAAGTGATTTTGAAGGATTTGTAAGCAGACACTGAATTAATTACCTCTTAAAGTTTATCTCAGGCAATGGAGCCTGTTTAGGGTCTTATTTGTTTGGTAAACCTAATTGTTCATGACAACAGCTGTGACGTAAAGTCTTTTGAGAATTTTCTTTAAAAAGAAAATCCTTCTGATATGTCCAAGGATTCCTGTTTCAATAGGCAATGTGTCAACACAGGACACTTCGTTTTCAAAAAAAAAAAAAAAAAAAAAAAA